GCACAAGCATTCGGAGATGGATAAGGAAATTCAGATGCCCTTTGGTGTGCTGGTACAGGCGAGAGCATGGAGGAGCCGCCTGGAACAGGGCAGTGGTGGTGGTGGACCATGAGATGCTGGGATTGCCCTAGAATTCAGTGGTCCCTGCCATTCCTCCTCTGCTTCCCTGCTTACTCAGTTGCTTAAGCACCTACTGTGTGCTTGTTGTGCTTAGGACAGCATACAGTAGGGACTGGAACAAGGATATGGAAGCAAGGTTAAGGGCTGGGAAGGACGCTGAACACTGAGGCCTGTGACAAGGAATGGGAGACATTTGAATTAAGTACCCATACAGCAACATGCAATACTGGTGGCCTGACACAATGTCATGGTAGACTGGGGCCTCCTGATTTTTATCATTGAGCTGTGCCTGGCAGAGAAGACTCAAGGAACAGTCTGGCCCATGCTGGAGTTCAGGTCTAGGACAGATAAGAGGTGAACCCAGGTAACAATCAGAGGGTCAGGAGGACCAGGCTTTGTGAGCAGAAGGAGGAAGGAGGAGGCATGATGTGCCTATGCAGTGATCCCTCCCACACAACAGTTACTTTTAAGGCCTCTGTCCCATCTCACCACCATCCCTGCTGCCTGGGTACAGACTGCATGGGCAGGCTTGGTAAAGGGTGGCACTCCTGGCTGCAGCTGGCTGTTTCCGTTCTGCCGGTGCTGCCCAAGCTGTCAGGTGGTTAGTGGTTAGAATCCGGGGCTGCTTTTTAGAATGACTGACCCCTAGAGACAGTGTCTCTCCCTTGAGACAGTGTCTCTCCCTTGAGACAGTGTCTCTCCCTTGAGACAGGGTCTCACTGTGTACCCATGGCTGTGTAGGCAGACTGTCCTCAAACTCACAGAGCTCCACCGACCTCTGCCTTTTGAGTCTATAGATGTGTCCCACCATGCCCAGCTAGGGGTCTCTCTTCACTGTCATGTTCATTTTGATCTGGGTTTGGCTAATCAATCTGCATTGTCTAGTTGTCAAGAGTGAGCTGGGAAGTGGAGTCCCCACTCTCACCAGCCAGTGTGAGGTTGCCAGGGGAGGCTTTGCTTGCTTAGCTAGCCACATGCTGAGACCATGGGGGGTGGGAAGGGGTAGGCCAGCTGCCTTTTACACTGGTGCTAGAGGGATAGTGGACTGGAAGTTGGCAATGCTGACTGGTTAGAATTCCAGGGCTCCACTCATACCCACAGTCCCCAGCAAAGACCTCCCTGCAGGAGAAGCAGGGGAGAATTTGAAGGCCTTGGGGCTCCCATGGACTATACCACTGACCCTGTCTCTTCTTCACCCACAGACTATCTGATCAATGTGATGGATGCTCTGGGCCTGCAGCCATCACGTACCCTCCAGAACATTGTGACACTCTTGAAGGCCAAGCCTGAGGAGTACAGACAGGTCAGCAAAGGCCTACCACGCCGCCTCGCAGCCACAGTGGCCACCATGCGTGGTGTAAATTACTGACCAATTCTGAGAAGAGGGTCCAGGACAAGGTCAGGGCTGGTGTCTGAGCCTCAGTGACTCTCAGAATGGCTTTGTTCTCAGCATCTGCCAGTGATAGGGCAGTGTGTGTGGAAGATGCTTTCCCGTCTTAGCAGTCAGCCATGGTAGTGCATGTCTGTAATCCTTGGGAGGCTGAGGCAGGAGGATTGCAGGTCATCCTGGGCTAGCATGAGACCCAGCATCTACAAGGAGACAGCTGTAAATGAGAAGTAATGTATTATTTATCAGATGATTTTATAAACAAATATCTTAAAAGTGGCTTTAATAAACATTGCAATGGGGCAAAGGCTGTTTCCTTCTTCTCTGGGGATGTCTGATTGCTCACACACTGAGCAGGGCCTGAGAACACGGGGTAGGGAGGGCTGTGGAGGAGCCGGGGCTTCCCCAGTGCAGAGGGAGCAAAGGAGGAAGAAACAGTGAGCAGGTATACAAGCAGGCAGAGGCATAAGTGCTGGGAAGAGGCTGTCAGGTAGGAGGAGGTGGGCAGCCAGCGGCTGGAGTGAAGATCTGCTGCAGGGAGCAGGTGGGGATTCCTGCCAGGAAGAAGCACGGCCAAGTGCAGAGGCCAGGTCCAGCCAGGGTGGCTGGAGAGGAAGGCAGCGGGCATTTGGGTTAAGAGGAGTAGGGCTGAATCCTACAGGATCGTACAGGTTGTGGTGAGAATTTTGGCTTCACTTACTCCCCTTTTTTTAAAATTTACAGGATGATACAAATTTCACCCCCCCCCCCCCCCTTTATCTTTTTGGTCTATTGCATCTGTACTTGTCAAGGCTGTTAGGCTTATATGTAACAGAAAATAACATTGCCTGAATGACTTGAGCCAAGAGGAATGTATTTTTCTACAATGAGAAGTCAGGGTGGGGGCTCCAGCAGCTGACGTAGGACTTGAACAGGGCAGGGACCTTTGCCAGTGCCCATGGCAGGTGATCCTGGCAGTGTGATTGCCACAGCTGTGTTCAGGACGAGACCACGGGATGGGTTGCAGAGACATGGCTCTCCCTTCTACCAGGCAATCAGCAATGCCTCACCAGTCCCTGCTGACTTCTAGGTCGTACGGCCGTTTCTTGGTTGCAGGGTATGGCCCCAGCTGCAAGGGGTGCCGGGAAAGTGCAGAGCAGGACCTGCTTCAGTATTCCTCAAGCTTAGCTCTTGTAGCATTTTGGATCAAATAACTTTGCTGGGAAACTGTTCCTTACATTTGGCTTCTGTCCACTAGCTATCAGGCATGTAGCTCTCACTGGGACAACCAAAACTGTCTTCAGGGATTCCCAGAAGGGCAAATCCGATAGGGAAACACCGGCTAGAGCACCAGGATTTATCCTCTGGGCTGAGCAGATAGCTACCCTGAACAAAGTAGGTTATTTATTATTTAGTGTCACTGGGTATCAATCACAGCCTCATAAATAATAGGCAAGCATTCTCACTGAGCTGTGTCCCTGCCTTTTTTGTTTTAGTTTGAGGTGATATCTTACAAAGTTGTCCAGGCTGATCCAAACTTGTTTTGTAGCCCAGGCAAGCCTTGAACTTGTGACTGTCCTTGCTGAGCCTCTCAAAGAGGTGGCCTGTACTACCAGGTCTAACTTCTCTTTCACTCTGTAGCCAGTACTAGCCTCATATTCACCGTCCTCATGCCTCAACCTCCTAAGTGCTGGGTTAGGGGCATACACAACCATGCCTGGCATGGCGAGTGGGAGCAGCAACAGTGCCTCTGAGAGGGCTGTTTGCCAGAATTAAGTTCTGCCAAGGTATCAAGGGTGAAGCTTTACTTCTTGCTGGGGTCTCTCAGAGAAGCCCACTACAGCCTTGGGAGGTGTAGGCTGATATCTCTAGAGAAGTTTGGAGACTTCCCAGGCCAACTGCCTTGTGACAAGCTAGAGTTAAGAGCAAGCCTAGTGATAATAGTATCTACACTCTTAACCCAATACCAGGGTGCCTTCTTAGTATACTGTGTGGGAGGTGCATGACCTAGGCGACACATGCTCTGTGAGGCATGTGGCCCGGGAGGCACACCGTGTGGGGATACTTAATCCCAGTAGGTCAGCCTGCTTGTGCCACCCAGCGGAGTGGTGCACCACACCCATGGGGCTGCCGGGGCTGGCGTCTCACTGAGACTGTCCTTATACCTTGGGAACTAGTTTGGCTGGCATGGACAACAGTATCAGCTGTGACCTTGCCCTAAGAAAAATACTTTGGTTCCTCATGGGTTGGTCACAGACTGTCCCTGGAAGGAGTCAAACCTGGGAGAGGTGAGACCTGGACGCACAGGAAGTCATAAGTACTCCTGGTAGTACACACTTGTTTTGTGGTGACTGGAGCACGTGAGAAGCATTAGGCATTAGAAGGGCGGCCTGGTGCTGGATTCAAGGAAAGCCACTCCCTCTCTGTGCCAGATTCCATGGCCCCCTGATGGTTCCCGCCTCTTAGTTAGACCACCTGAAGAGTCGCTGAGATACAGTGGGAGCAATGGCTTATGGCAAGTTCATGTTCATTGTTCATTCATAGTCTCCAGTGTCCTAACCTAGCTTCCCTTTTGGAGAGGAAGTGGAAATCATACATTGTCTTGGCTCATGGGGTCCCTGGAAGGATAGAACATCTAGATCAGGTACAGAGTGGCCGGACTGACAGGTCAGAACTACCTTAATAATGGGGCCATTGAAGCTAGCATCCTGGAGCCTGACCCTTTCCATTGCCTGAGAGTGAAGACAGCAACCTAGTTCCATTGTGGTTTCTGTCTTGCACATCTGCAGATGGCTCCAAAGTGTCTGTGAGCAGAACCTCTTCTGGGGTCAGTGACTCCCCTCCCTCCATAGATTCTTCCAGAACAGCTAGTTGATGTCTTCCATCCTCAGTCACAGCCTGGGCTGTATGAGACACTGTCTCAAAAACAGCAAGGACTGGAGAGATGGCTTACCACTTAAAAACACTGGATGCTCTTCCAGATGGCCTGGGTTTGATCCCTAGCACCCATATGGCTCCTGACAATCTCTAGCTCCAGAGGGATCTGATGCCCTCTTCTGGCCTCTGAGGGTACTACATTTGCATGGCAAACAAACATACACACAGCCAAAACACTCATACACATGAAATAACCAAACACTCCCCCGTCATAATAAACAGATTTGTTTAGCTCAAGGTTCTGGAGGTTGGTAATCCGAGACTGAGAGGTCAGCAATCAGATGTCATGACATGGCAGAAACATCATGCGGTGAGACTCAGCTTTCTCTCCCTTATGACGCCACTAATGCAGCTCCTTGAGGTTATCCGGGAGGCAGAGGTGCTTGCTGCAAGCCATATGGTAGAAGGAGAGAACTTACTGTTGCAAAGTTATCCTCTGACCTCCACATGAGTTCTGTGCTCTACACACTGTGACATGCTCTTGTACACACACACACACACACACACACACACACACACACACACACACACGCACGCACACTCGTGAACATAAATAAAAAAATAAAAGCCAGTAATGCCCACTCTGATAACTTTAATCCCCTTCATCACCCAGTTGTGACAACTCCAAATGCCATGACCAGAGTATTTTCTGGGTCTTTTTGTTGGCTTGCTTTAGTTCTGGGAATGGACCTCCCAGGTGATGGGCAGACACTCTACCACTGAGCATATGATAGGAATATTAATTTTCAATATGAATTTCCAAGGAGCTTTTCAATCCATAGAATAGTGATTGTGGATGTCTTTGCTTCTTCCAGCCTCAATTTACTTACCTGCTAAATAGGATATTATGAGGTAAGTGTGGTGGCACCCGCCTTTAGTCCCAACACTCAGTAGGCAGAGACAGGCAGATCTCTGTGATTTCAAGGCCAGCCTGGTTTACATAGGGAGTTTTAGGCCAGCCAAGGCTATATAGTAAGACCCTGTCTCAAAACAAAAACAAAAATATAGAGAATTAAAATGGCATATTACTGCTCCCAGGTTGTGAGGATAGAGTGAAATAAGAATTGTATAGTACTCAGCATGAGGGTTAGGGGATGCTTCATTCAGTAGAGTGTTTGCCACAGGAGCAAGAGGACTTGAGTTTGGATCCCCTGCACCCACAAAACAAAACAACAACAAAAAAACTGGGCACAGTGGCCTGGGTCTGTGACTACAGCACTAGGTTTGGAGACAGGGAACTAGGCTGGCGATCCCTGGAACTCACTGACTGGCCAGCCTAGCCAGTCTGTGAGCACCGGGATCAGTGAGATAACTCTATCTCAAAAAGCTAAGGTGGAGGGAATCATGGGAGATTCCCAACATTGACTCCAGGCTTTCATATGTATGTGCACTCACATGCACGTGTGTACACACCACACACATGTGCCCACAGCACACACACAATACCACTATTAAAATGGTGAAGTACTCAGCACGGGGTTTGGCACATGGTGGTAAGTAATTGATGTCCTATAGCTGCTGCTTAGCAATGACAATAAGTGGTGATGGTGCGTGTGTTGAGGGCCGCTGACAACAAAAGCTGGAGTCACCGCCAGGTGATTCTGGTCACAGGCTAGCTGGGCCCTGAACCAGGAGACCCATTGTCCCCCAAACAGCCTCCAGCTTGACCCAGGTGGACACTGCCTTCTTCCATGGTGGGACCTTGATGGCAGACAAAGGAGCCCAGCTGATCTCCACCAACCAGGCTAGACCCTCAGACATCAGGCTCTGTAGCCAGAGCTCCTTCCTCACTGGGACTTGACAGGTGGCAGTGGGACTCTGTGTGGTTCAGTCACCTGCACCTGCCAGCAATACCTTGCCTCCTCTATGAGGACTCATCAGACTTGCCATATTTAACAGCAAGGATCCAGGTCATTCACTTAAGTTTGAATGTGAAAGAAACAAATGACTTATTCATATAATACATCCCAACTATTCCAGGGGCAAATTGTACTACAAAACTAATTTGTTGTTTCCCTGAAATTGTTTTAACTGAGTGGTCTGAGTTTTGGCTGGCACCCCCTGGGCACCAGGCCCCACTCCCCTCACTGTGATTTTCTGGGTGCGATGGTGGCTTCAGGTCTGGGCACATAGAACTGCTGATCTGAATAGTTTAGCCAGATCTTTGACCATGCTGATTGGCTCAGAGATAAGCACATGACCTAGTCAGGGACCAATGAGTATCAGCCTGGAGCAGGTATTAAGAGAGACCTCCAGAGACCCCCAGAAGTGGAGACTGAGTTATTTGGGATGCTTGAGAGCCTTTATTTGTTTTGTGTGGTTTGATTGATTTGGTTTCTTGAGACAGTCTCACTATGTAGTCCAAGCTGGTTTTGAACTCAGACATTCCTGCTTTGACCTTCCTAGTGCTGGGATTACAGGTATTTGCTCTCTATCCCCATGACTGGTTTTGCTTAAGTTGGTTTGAGTTTTTTTCTACCTATTTGTGCAACCTAGAGAAATAGATTGGGTGGCACCTCGAAGGTCTCTGGGACAATGCTTTGGGGACAACTTGGAAGGACAACATGTCCACAACCCAGACATGCTCCAGGACACCCCAGCTACCTACCGGGATAAAGAACCAATATCCATTCAGTGTTTTCCCTCTTTATTTTCTAAACCAAGCATGTGCTCCCCTGACAAGCTCCCTCCCCATGATCTGTAGTCGCCCCCCACCCCCAGGCTGATAACAGGTCGACCAAGGCTGACTAGAGCAAGGTCACTGAGATGGTGACACATACACAGAAGGATATGACCTACCACTAGGAGAGGGACTCCAGGGGTCTCTGGAGCCTGTCTGCTAGGCCAAAAGACAACACAGAGTAAAGAGCACGGGAAACGTGGACAGGAGCCAGGCAAGGTTACAACTTCAGTATACTGGTACCAGCATCTTGACCCTATGGGTCCCTGAGCCTGGGACTGGCCAGTTACTGCTGGCTTCTCTAGAGGGGCATGAACTCTGGTGTGGGCACCTGTGTTCCTGGCTCTTTGGATGAAGCCCAATAAAACGAGGCACTAGAAACGGTTATAACTTTGTAGTTTCAAGTTCACCAGCTGCTAGGTGGGGTCGGGTCTAGATGGCCTCGACTTCGCTGTCAGACTCCAAGGTGTCCAGTGGCTGCAGTCTTAGGGAGTCATAGTTGGGAGGTGGGGTGCCCGGGATGGGCAGAGTCTGTTGGTCAGGGTAGACCTCGGCATGGGGACTGTGGTTGGCTGTGTCAGGCTGGAAGCCAAAGTTGGTGTGGGCCTCCACCAGCTCAGCCACGGTGGGTGGTGGGCCAGTGTATGGTGCCTGTGGCCGCTTCCTTTGCAGGCCTTTGCAGGAGACCACCAGCTTGATGATGGTAATCCAAATGAAGTCAATAATGATCTCCCCAAACTCAATGAGGCACAGCACTGAGCCCCCCATCCAGAAGCCAAACTGGCCCCCTAGATTAGAGAGCAGCCACACGATCTGTAGGAAACAAGAAAATGAGGGCCTTGGTCTGTCTGCCCAGCTTTAGGGGCCCTAACACCTACCTAGGGACTAAGGGATCCATGAGACAGACACCCACATACTCACATTGTTGGCTGGCGATTCCTCAATGGTGCGGTAGTTGAACTCTTGGAAGTAGATGTTGAGCTTGACAACACCCTTCCTACAGGAGGCAGTAAGGCAGGCTGGGACCATGGCCTGCCCTCCCTCCCAGGATGGGTGTGTGCATGTGTCCCATGGGAGGAGCACTCCAAGGCACTCTGCCCACCTCCAGCCTGAGTTGCTCTTAGGAGTGGGGAGATCCAAACCAAACCTGGAAGTACTGCCCCTTCCCACTTAAACTGGACCTGAGAGCCACAAAGGACATCGATGCCCAGCACCTGTCCTATGGACTTCTTTCTCATCCCCATGTCTGCCTCTGGCCTGGGATGGTCCCAAAGGTCACTCTGAAGCTCCTCTCTGGGCCTAGGGTAGCCCGGCCCATATGCCACACATCTAAGAAGTGTGGCAGCCTCGAGCAGGGTGACCAAGGGCTGAGAAGGTGACAGGAGTGGTTCCTCATTACATTGGGGGTCCCTGGGAAGGCTGGACTGTTTCATTTTTCCAGACCTTTCCCAAACTCCATTTCCCCCCTGGGTATCTTGGCCTCTTTTTGACTGGGAGTGGCTCCTACTTCTCAAATGGCACCTGTTCACAGACCTCCCTGTCTCCCATGCACACTGAGGCTTCTCCCTGTTCCTAAAGGAGACGGGGCTCATGAAAGACACTCCTGTCTGGGAGCTTTTCTTGCATCTCAGCTCAAGGTCCCCGGTGGAGTAGAACTTGCCTGTCCCGCACTCAGAGTGTTTGTGTTGAATGGATGGAGACATGGATGGAGGGAGGGAAGGTGGATAGTTAGACGAGGAAAAAACAGAAGGACGGAAGTTGGCAAGACAGCTCAGCATGTAAACTGCTTGCCACACAAGCCTGATGACTTGAGTCAATCTCAGGAACTCACATAAGGGTGGAAGGAGGTGTCCTTTGACCTTCACATGCACACCAGGTCATGCGTGTGCTACATATATACACGCCACACACTGGATAACTTTTTAAAGAATGGAAGCTGATGGAGAAGTGCCGAGGTGGAAATAAGACCTTCCTCCATTAGACACTGAGCCTTCAGCTGCCTTTCTTCCCCTCTTCCTCCTCTAGTCTTGACCTGGGTTTTTAACAGCAAAAGGAATCTGGGCAGCTGTTCCGTGTGTAAACCCTGCCCCGGGCACTGGTTCCTCCCTTTTCTGCCTTCGCCAGCCCTGGCCACATTCCATCCTCACCTGCTCAGGGTGATATTTGCGCTCTGGTCCCGCTCCTGAGACAGGACATGGAGGATCCAATCCTAGAACCCAAGAGGCAGCTGAAAGGGATGTGCACGCACGCACGCATGCACACACGCATGCACACAGGCACTCGACATAGCCCCCTGTTGCCCAGGACCTGGGCAGAGAGCAGCCCCACACCTTCTAGAAGCCTGAGCCTTGAGTTGGGAGCAGAGGAGCTCTCCCAGAAGCGTGGCTGTTGTCAGAGGAAGGAGCTCAACTCTCCAGCTGTCTTGTCCCCAGACGGATGTTGTCTCAGCCTCATTCCCATCCCTGGCCATAACACTTGCGCTTCTTTCTGCTCAGAGTCCTCCCTGCCCTGCCTGGGCCAGCTCTGCCCTGGCTGTGGCCCTCATGCCCTCCACAGAGAGGCCTCCCTGACCTGCCGTCTAAGTGCTTTCCCTCGCTGTTCACTCAGCCATGACTTTGAAATGGTCTTCCATGTGTGTGTCTCTCTGACTGGGCTGTGGACTTGGTAAAGGGAAGACTATGCCTGTCCCTGGCATAGTGCCTGGGGGAGTGGAAAGAAGGGGGGGGGGAGGGATGAGAAGTAGGGGAGGCAGGGAGGGAGGGAGGGATGTAGGAATGGATGGAGGGGGATAGGGAAAGAAAGGGGGAGGGGGAGAGAGGGAAAAGACTCTAAAACCGCAGACTTGCTCTCAACGCAGAGACAGAGGAGAACGGGAGCTTGACTTTCTGCCGTCTCACCTCAGAGGCCTCGGAAGGCCAGTCAGCCATGGAGATGGTCATCTTATACTGGGTGTCACTGGAATAGAGAAGCCAGCTCTGTTGCTCTCCTGGTAGCCCTGAGCCCTCCTCACCAGCACCTGACGTCCCCCCGGCCACACTCACTTGCAGGATTCCTTGCACATGCTGAGGCAGGTCTCTCTCTGGACCACACTCATCTGTAGGCTTAGGTAGCAGTAGGCTTCATGGGAGAGAGGGAGGTGGTCAGGAGCCAGGAGGGCTGCTTCCAGGGGTCCTCCCTCCCCCAGCAAGCCTCTGCTTTCCTCCTAGATCACCCAAGGGAGACTCAATCCAAGTCCCCCATCACTGAGATCATTGCTCCACACCCATCCCTCTCCCTGGCTCTCTTGCCCCAGCCCAGCATGGGATCCTGTCCCTAAATATCTGAGAAGCAGCTCAGCAGGTCAGAGTGCCTTCTGTGTCCCTCCTCATCCTTACCTAGAAGATAACTTCTGGGGTGGTGTACAGAAGGACGAGCAACCAAAACCAACCAAACAAACAGATAAATGTTTGTTTTCTTTGTTTGTATATTGTAGTGGTGGTAGGACCTGTGACTACTAATTGCATCCCTGGACTGACTCCAATCCCTGAGGGTCCTCAGTCTCAGGCTCCATTCATGTGGGAACCCATTGGGGATTTGTCCTGTGATGATAGCTTCCAAACCCCTGGAAGCCACCATCACGACAGCAACTTCTTCAGTGTTGTCCTCCCCAATCCCAGCTCCCTTCATGCATGGATGCACATGGCTTCATGTGTACATACACACATGCAAACACTGGATGTCAGGTGCCTGCTCATGAGCACACACAGGTCCTGCAGTGACACATTGTTCTTTGCATGCCTTCCCTATATGCACCTGAAGATGAATGTATACACACTGCACACTCTCCAACAGCCCTATTCCCTGTCTCATGTCTGTGCAGGCATGTACACAGCACACGCATGCCTGAAGTTCATCCCCACACCTATGTGTCTCAGGCATGTACTTCACAGAATCAAGATGAGGAGAAGGAAGGTTCTTTTGGAATAGGGTCTGGGAGAGGTTGTGGGCTGGAGCGAGTCCCCCTTAGTGATGGGCTTCTCCTCACTGTTGTCAGTCTTCCTATGCTACACTCACCCCAGTCGGGGAAGTCCCTGTTGTTGCAGTATTTCTCTCCAGCAGGCAGTGGGTACAAATAGTGGCCGCAGCTGCAGTTATGGATCATGTGGTCTTGGAAACAGGAGTGAAGACAGGCCTGGGGGGGTGCAGAACAGATCTCAGGCATGGTAGGATGGTCCTATTCCGGTACCAGAGAGAAGGAGCCCAGAGAAGTAGTTACTGCCAGGGCACTAGGGACTACTGGGGACCAGGAGGTGTGGTCTTTTGGCTAAGAACCTGTGGTGAGCAGGCAGAGCCACAGCTACAGTCTCTGCAGTCAGGGTCACAGTTGGACCCCACGACAGCTTATTGGGCCTTGCACAGGGACTCTGGACAGATCCCAGCAGCCCCAGTCTCTCCACCCAAAGCTAGTCCTGTTGATGGCATGGGCAGGGGTGGCCTGCCTCACATAAACCTGCTAATAGCTCCTCCATTGAAGGGCCAGCACCCGTCTGAGGTCCGCGCACAGAGCCCCAGAAAGACAGCGGGCAAGCTGGCTCAGACCTGCTTCCTTATGGGGGGGGGCGGTGAGAGTAGGATGCCCTAGGGAAGTCAAGGGGTGATCTTTAATGGATCAGGGCCAAGGTGGAGTAGAGGGGACACAAGAGTCCTCAGCCCCGAGAACTGGATGTAGTGAGGACAATTTCAAGGTCCCAATGTCCATGATGTTTAGGTCATTCTGACCTGGTTCCAGTCTACTCACACCAGCTATGTATCCTGAAGCAAGTGATTAACTATTGAGCCTCAGTTTACTCATGGAGAAACAGGATACTAGTCACACCTGCCTTCCAAGGTTGGAGGACTCAGCACAGCATCAGGTGCTTGGTAAGCAGGTACTACACCCTCTCCTTCCCTCCTGTGCCTGCCCCGAGTATTGGCTATTATGGCCTCCTACCTCTAACCTATGCCTATTCCTCATACCTCTGCCAACTCCCTCCTTCCCTCCTTGCCTGCCCCCTCTCCTCCAGATCAATGCATCTGACTCCTCCCAGAGGGACCACTGAGATTCCCAGTGACAGGAGACGGGGCTAGCTAGCCCATTCAGAGCTGTGGTCAAGATGGGACAGCAGGGGTCAGAGGAGGTTAGAGTGGCTCCAGTGAGTGTCTCTCACAGACCTCAGTCCCTCATCCTCCCCACCCTGTTCCTGAGACTGGGGTAGCCCAGGCAGCTCTGGTAGGAAGTAGGCAGCAGGCAGAACTTCTCGGGCTCTAGATTTCTGCTCTTTCCCTGGGAGGAGCAGCACTGAAATTTCCCAGGAATGTAGCTAGTCCTCCTTTTCCATATGCCCTGCCTCCCTGCGCTACACTGTCTGTCTGTCCATCCCTCTGGAAGCTCAAGAGGTGCCCAGAGTTCTCCATGGCAGACAGAAGCCCATTAGACAGGAATCGGCCAAGCCAGCCCTTGTGGGGAGCATAATGCTAAACTCAGGGATCCCAGACATGGAGGCAAGCACCCTTTGCTTGCCTGTGTTTCTTCATTTCCGACGGCAGGTTGATCTGGGGCGGGGGTGGGGGAGAAGTCAGCAAGCTATTCATTTTGTTCTGTACGAAAGACGTGTTCTCTCCTCTCAAGGCTACAGAGGGAAGGTTACAGGCTGACCTCAGAGATCAGGGCAAGAGGAAAGCTCCCAGCTACAGCAAGGAAGCGTGAGGGCAGCTTTCTCAGATTAATTGGTGAGGCATTCAGTTCAGGGTCTGTCAAACCCAGTTTTCCTCACTCCTACATGTGCATCCTAGGGGTGCCTCCAGGACGTGACACATGTGAGTTGCCAAGCACACGGCCAACTTGCTGCAGTTAATACATTCATAAACGCCACTGCTGTTGGCATATTGAGGTCATAGACAGGCTGAAGAGATCAAACGAGGAAATGCACGCAGATCCCCAGCACCGAATCTCACACACAGTGAGAGTTCCATGCTGGGTGTTCTCCCAGGGACACCTGCCAAGGGGATGTAAGAGTGGATAGCCGTGGGTCCTGGGTCTGAACCCAGAGCCCTTGTCTTTGTTTGTTTGTTTGTTTTTGGATTTTTTCGAGACACGGTTTCTCTGTGGCTTTGGAGGCTGTCCTGAAACTCACTTTGTAGACCAGGATGGCCTCGAACTCACAGAGATCCGCCTGCCTCTGCCTCCCGAGTGCTGGGATTAAAGGCGTGCGCCACCAACGCCCGGCGAGCCCTCGTCTTTGTAGCATCATGGTCCTCTGTGCTACTTACAAAGATCCAACCAGGTCTGCCTGGCGCTACGTGCCTGTAATCAGTCCCACTACTTAAAAGGCTGAAGAAGGAGGATTGTGAATTTCAGCCTGGGCTACATAGGGTAACCCTGTGTCAAATAAGCAAGTAAATGAGAAATAAAGATTTGGCAGAGCCAGTCCAGCTCTTGTAGAGAGCTGAGGTAAAGGGACAGATTCTTCACGGTCACCAAGTCTACCAGCTTTCCCACCTGGATGGAGTACGTGGTATTGTAGTCACTGTAGAGGTTCTGAATGGCAACATCGGAGCCATTCATCGTGCAAGGACTGTAGGGCTCCCCCTTGCGCTGCAGCTTGTCCTGTGGAGAGAGATGCTCATGGAGACCCCTGGTAGCCTCTTCTGTCTGTCTGTACTTCCCCAGGAGTCAGCGGGATCTGCAAAGGGATGGGGAGTTGCAGGTCCCAGAAGATGCCAGAGGGGGCGCCAGAGGGCTCAGCGTGTCTTAAGAGATTGCCAGATACTGAGATTTGCACTGAGCAATGGTGTGCTGGGTTCGTGATCGCTACTTTCAGGCTATGACGGGGGGGGGGGAGGGGAGGAGGGGACGGAGAGTGAGGGGGCTGGGAGCAACCCGAACAGGGGAGCGTCTCCACTCAGGCTGCCCTGGGGCCCCGGCTGTACCACCAGCACCCCGATGGACGTCTCAGTTCCCGCCATGGCGTAGATGCCTTCTTCTCTGATGAAGGGGTACGTCCTCTGCTCATGGAGCATCAGCCTGGCTCCTGCTGTGGACGCAAGGAAGGGGACATAGTCCTCCTGGCCGATGTCTAGGATCAACTTGAGACCTATGGAGGAAGGATAGCGAGGGCAGTTGAGTTTGGACATCTCCCAGATGGAAGGGAGACTTGTCATCCAAGTGTTCCAGCCTCATTCAGGCAAGGGGCTCATAATCTCCTCCTGTTGTCTCTTGTCTACACAGCACGCCCTGCCCGCCCGCGGTGCCCAGCCCATTTCATCCCACATTCTTCCTATTCAGTTGTTTCCGGTGGCATTGCTCCTTCCTGTTGCACCTCCGAAGGCGCCTTTCCCTAGCTCTGGAATGCCGTTCCCCGCCCTCTCCTTTCTTCTGGAACACCCCACTCTTTCTCTAGGTCGCAGTAGTATCACTTGCTCCAGCAGTTTCCTTGCTTGATCAAAGTCATCAGCATGTCCCCTCCTAGCTCTGGAATGTCCGTTCCCAGGATCCACCTCACTCGTGTTCTCATTTTAAGTCTTCCTCCCAGCTGGGCTGCCTGATTCAGAAGCAAGGACTTGGGGCACATCCAGAGCCATCCCTCACTTAGCACTTGCTACATACTATGTGCTAGCGAGGTGCTCACTTAAGAGAATCTGGGCTGGCCTCAAACTGGTGACCTTCCTGTCTCAGCCTCTTGATTGCTGAGATCACAGACTTATGACATCATGCCTGGCTATAAGGTGCTTTCTTATAAAACATCCTATTAGATCCTCCCCCAAATCCCATGAGGTACTATAATTATTACCATTTTACAGGTAAGCAAACTGATGCACAAAGAGGTGAAGGAACCTCTCTAAGGTTACACGAGGGGGGGGGAGGGGGGATTTTCTGGGTTCTAAGGAGGCCTATTGGCTCCTTACTGTAAGTATGTGTTCAGCAGTCTGTTGACTGTTCTCACTAACAAGGGCAGGGTTAAGGTGGTCAGCTCCATGGCCTCCTCTTGGCTAGTAACCCTGATGGTCAAGGAAGGCGATCCTGCCTTTCAATGGTTAGGAGTGTCACAGCCTGAGGCTGTGTGCTATGCCCCAAATGTGGGTGTTTGGGTGTTTGTCAATGCCTCTAAAGGTCTCCCTTTGTAGCTTGGTTGGTCTTAAACTTGTGATCATCTCACTTCCATCACTCACGGGTTGGGATTACAGGTGTATATCACAACAGCCACAGCCCGCCAGCCGTCCCTTAGAGGACAGGACAGCAGGAATGGGGACCTGCCATTAGCCATGTTCCACTGCCTCTCTACTCTTCCCTCTTTCCAGCTGTTGGGCTACTGTTTGCTCTGTCATCTTAGGTGACCTTGGACCAACTGTGTAAAAACTTCTCAGCATGCCCCAAATGTGCCAAACAGGCCTGATTTCCCGGTCAGATGAGGTGGCTTCTTAACACAAAGTTGCTGTGACTCAGGAGCTGAGTATTACTGTGGGCCATTCCTAGCTATCCTGTACGGCTATTCAAGAACAAACTGAGGGTTTGAGAACCTATCATAGCCATGAGCTGTGTTGCTTCTGAAACATCGCATATTCAACAACAAAATGGAATACCAGCCTAGACCCCCAGCCTCACCCTAACCTAACCATAACCCTAGCCTTAACCTAACCCTAACCTTAACCTAACCATAACCTTAACCTGACTATAACCTTAACCTGACCCAACCCTAACCTTAAACCCTAACCCTAAACTTATCCCTAACCCCTAACCAACTCTAACCCTAACCCTAACCCCTAACCTAACTCTAAACCTAACCCCTAACCTTCTAAACCTAACTCTTACCCTGGGCAGAGGGTTCCCCCCAAGGGCTCTGCCCTGGTCTGCTGAAGAGGAGAGTGGGCCACTGCCACCTTTCAAACACTTCAGAGAGGCAGCATCTCATAGTGTCTCCTTGCAAACCCAAACTCACCAAATTCAGTCCCAGGGTTGGCAGAAGGAAGCGCTGTCTCTGTCATGCCCCAGTTGAAGATATAGCAATTGCCATAGTCAGGGTAGAAGATAGGTGTGAAGTTCCTGAGATAAACAGGATAGACTGAGGCCGGGTGGTGGTGGCACTCACCTTTAATCCCAGCACTCGGGAGGTAGAAGCAGGCGGATCTCTGTGAGTTCAAGGCCAGTCTGGTCTACAGAGTGAGTTCCAGGACAGCCTCCAAAACAATAAAGAGAAATCCTGTCTCGAAAAAAAAAAAAGCAACAAAAACAACAACAACAACAACAAAAAACCCCAAGCCCCCCCCAAGACAAAACAAAACAAAAACAAATAAACAATACCAGGATAGGCTGGAGGGTAGAAACTTAGCCTGGGCAGAGGGCTCTCCCAGGGGTACTATCCTGCTCTGCTGAAGAGGGGAGTGGGCTGCTGCTGCCTGCTTACAAACACTTCAGAGAGGGAGCAGGAGAGAGAGAGGCTAGACTAGCTCTTTCCTTCCAGTCCACCACCTGTGGAAGCCAGAATTCTGGAAGGCTGTGAGGTGGGAGAAAAGAGGAAGTCTCTCCTGGCTGGGGCTGGTGTAGCCTTTGTGGCTTGTGAGAAGTTCTCAGATGCTAGCCTCAGTCACTACACCTTCAAAAGGATGTGAGTTGTCCTGACCCCTTCTGCTTTTTGCTTAGAGACCATCTCACTGTGAAGCCCGGGCTAGCCTGGGGAAGGGGATCCTCACCTCTGCGTGGCTTTGTGACAGCTTCTTGTATCTCTCTAAGGGTAAGAACTTTCTAAAACGACGCTGTTGCCATGTTCAAAACAACCAGCAAAATCTCTCAATGCTGTTGATTAAATATGCAGTTCCAATCAGTTCCAATTTCCATTTGTCCCACAAAGATTTGCTTTTATGATTCCTTTATTTAAACCAAGATCCAAATCATTTTAATGGGTGATTTAATTGTAATTGGTTAGTAAACCCTGTTAATCTCTTTTGACTGTGTCTCTTGGGTTGATAGGAAAGGCCCATGCCATGCAAACCTGACAACCTGAGACCAATTTCTGGGACCCACAGTGGAAAGGGGAAAACCAAGGGCCAAGAGTTGTCCTGTGACCTCCATGGACACACTGAGACAGCCATGCATGCATTCGTGCACGCACACACAAGTGATAACAAAATCAAATGAAAAGCTTCAGTTTGATCCAGATGATGTAACAGTGTCCAAAAGTGAGATCACACAGACAGAGACTCTACTGTTAGCAAGAACTGGAGGCTGGAGGGTGTGTTAAACAAGAGCACAGACAGCAGTAAAAAATGCAGACAATGAGAAACTCAATGGTGTTAGTAACCAAGTCCCTTCAGTAAATAGGTTGTGTAAGAGGAAAGGAAATCACCTATAGACAGAAACTCAAAATTCACAGTGTCTGAGATCACACTCTCCACGTTCACCTCGTGTGTGCAGGCTGAAAAGTGGACTTCATAGACGGCGAAGGACTTGAAAGTTGCTAAGGGCTGGGAGTGGACGCAGAGGGAAGGTGGGTAACAAGTCTCTGGAGGATGGGACGTGCAGAATGAGATGAGTAATAGCAACATCACTCCGTAGGAAGAGGGAGGTCTGATGTTGTGTGGTGCAGCAGGGCAATGGCAGCTCATGACAATGTATTACATATTTTACATCAAACTAGAAAGGAGGGCTGGTGTGGTAGTCCATGCCTGTCATCCAACTACTCAGGAGGCTGAGGAAGGAAAATCTTGAGTTTGAGACCAGTCTGAGCTATGTAGTGAGGTCTTGTTTCAAACAAACAAACAAACAAAAAACCCAAAACAACAGAAAAACCAGTCTAACAAAAACTAAATGTGAGGTTTCCCAGTGAAGGAAGGATAAATATTTTGGAAGGTGAAGATGCCTTGATTTGGTTCCTGTGTGCAGTAGAAGTAGGGTATGGTCATACTGTCTCCACATATGCAGTACTGTGTGGATACACATAAATATGTACAGTGTGTAAGTGTAAACAATCCTATACAAACACGAGGATCACCAGCCTACAGTCCACACCGCCAGAGAAGCTAGGAAACAAGGAGGACCCTAAGAGAGATATACATGGTCCCCCGGAGAAGGGGAAAGGAACAAGATCTCCTGAGCAAATTGGGAGCATGGGTGGAGGGGAGAGGGAGCTAGGGGAAAGAGAAGGGGAGAAGAGGAGGGGAGAGGAGGACATGAGGGAGCAGGAAGGTTGAGTCAGGGGAAGAATAGAGGAGATATACCATAATAGAGGGAGTCATTATAGGTTTAAAGATAAATCTGGCACTAGGGAAGATGTCCAGAATCTACAAGGATGACCCCAACTAAAAATCTAAGCAATAGTGGAGAGGCTACCTTAAATGCCCTTCCCAGATAAGGAGATTGATGACTACCTTATATGCCATCCTAGAGCCTTTATCCAGTAGCTGATGGGAGCAGAAGCAGATACCCACAGCTAAACACTGAACTGAACTCCTGGAATCTAGTTACAGAGAGGAAGGAGTGATGAGCAAAGGGGTCAAGACCAGGCTCGTGAAACCCATAGAAGCAGCTGACCTGAACAAGGGGGAGCTCATGGACCCCAGACTGATAGCTGAGAAACCAGCAGAGGACTGATCCAGAACCTCTGAATGTGGGTGTCAGTGAAGAGGCCTCAGCAATCTATGGGGCCTCTGGTAGTGGATCAGTATTTATCCTTAGCATACGAATAGACTTTGGGAGCCAATTCCACATAGAGGGATACTCTCTCAGCCTAGATACTCAGGGAGGGCCTAGACTTTGCTCCAAATGATATGACAGACTTTGAAGATCCCCATGGAAGGCCTCACCCTCCTGGGGAGCACAACAGGGATGGGATAGGGGATTAATGGGGGGCAGGGGAGGAGGGGAGGGAGAGGGAACTGGGATTGACATGTAAAACAAGCTTGTTTCTAATTTAAATAAAAAATAGAAAAATGACAATCCTATTCATAAAAAAGATTATTTGATTAAAAGGAAAATCACAAGCTTGGTATAGCAGTGCATGTCTGTAATCCTAGCACGGGGTTGAATTGTTTCTCCACCTCTGCTCTGTCACGTGGACAATCTCATGTCTCTCAGGAGTAGCACTGAAAATACTTTTCAAAGCATGGTAGGATGGCTCATACAGTAAGTGTGCTGCTGACAAGTTTGACCTCTGGAGTTCAATTCCCAGAACCCACACTGGGGGGCACAATCTGGCTCCCACAAGCTGCTCGAATGTGGGCTGAGGCATGTGACTCTTATGAATAAACAAAGAAATAAACAAATGTTCTTAAAGAATTTTTCAAAATAAAAACAAAAAGAACTCTCAAGCAGATGCCTATGCATCTACAATGTTCTTTTATAGGATAATTGGCTTTCCTTGACCCTTCCAACATTTCTAGAGGTGGGCCCTGGGCTGGGGCAGCAAGGAAAACAGGATAGGCTTGCTCATGCACTGCAGCATAGGCAAGGGATAGCTCCATGTCACATCTGTCCTCACACATGGCTTTAGCCTGTCCACTTTTTAAAAAGTTACATTCACTTGTTTATTTGGGGATGTGTGCATGGAGGGGCCAGATGGCAGCTTACAGAAGTCAATTACCTTCCACCATGTGGGTTCTAGATACTGATCTTGTGTTATCAGGCTTGGTGACAAGCACCTTTACCTTTGTCTTCTCACTGGCCCTAGCTTGTCCAGTTCTAAGTCACATTCTCTGGTCCAAGCTCCCCAGGACTCTTGTTCCTCTTGTTCCCTATCAGCCATCTCATGCTAGAATCTCTGCAGAAGCCCTGTTCCCACCTTTGCTTCCTCCATCCTGCCATGCAGCATCAGGACCATTGTCCTCATTCACGACACTTCGGCAACATTCCCGATGTTTGCGAACATAGCCCACCACACACCTGCTGTTCCCTGTGTCTAGAACACTACTCACCAGGCCATCGAATAGTTGGTTTATTCTTTTTCTACGGTTTCATCTCCTCCGAGACTCCCGAGTCTCCCCACCCACCTCGCAAAATGATAGAACTTAGCTGTCTATAACAATGAGTTAGGAATGGACACCCCCCCCCCCACATTTCACCTCTTTACTACCTTTGATTCAGCTCAAAACTGGAAAATCATATAGATTTAGTTGCTTACCTATTTGCTGTTCCTGTGTGGACCCTGAGCCTAAAGAGAGCCATGACCTTGGATCTGTAGGATGACAGCCCAGAGGTCGCTGGCTCAGAGTAGTCTGCCTTGAACTGACTTCTGGCTTTATTCTTTCCTAGCTCAGTGAACTTGATGATGTAATTAATGTCTGAGCTTCGTTTTAACCATCTGTTCGTATATCCCAGGGACAATAGCAGCAGTACTACCTTCCAGGATTGAGCTGAGGGACAGATAGATGCCTAGCATACTGTGACATGCAAAGCACCTTGGCTGGTACTGTTCACACCTCTGTTTCCGGGGCCTGGCATACAATGCAGCAGCACACAGACATTTGGTAAATATTTGTTGAATAAACTATAATATGTGATAAGGACACTGGGAGAGATAAATGGCAGGTGGGGGTAGACATGGGTTAGGGACTGTAACTCAAATAATGAGGAAGAGATGGTGGAGTTTAAATGGGTAGGAGAGGGAAGGGTATGTCCTAGTGGGGGCAAAGAACCAGCAAAGGTTTGGAGGGGAACAGGTGCTCTGAGCAGGCACCACAAGGTCTATATACTGTGTGGGTCAGAGCTGAGACCACAGGCAGAGAGTAGAGCAAACGGGCTGCAGTCACTTCCTGCTCTGAACGGAGAGACCTTACCCCAGGCGTGAGGACTGTCTTGGGTAGGTGGAGCCCAGAAGGGAGCAGTAGGCTGCCAGCATGTGGCCAGTCCCCTCTTGCAGACTGAACTCTGGGTCATCATCTCTGCTGACTATTCATTCCTTGACAATGCCTATCCCCTAGAGAGGCTGTGTACAGCTTTAGTAACATCTAGTTCCAGAGCAAGGGTCCCCTCTATAAACATTTTCTGAGATAGGGGCTGTGAATGCAGAGGCCAGCAAGCAAGCCTTCAGAAATGACTGGGAGATGCCTAGG